AATAATATGGTTAATTTGTTAAACGATACAAATTGCAATGTAGAAATTAAGGGGAAAAGTTTTGTTCCATTTTTATCCAAATACATATTCATGACCACCACAAAGAATCCCTGTGAGGCATATAATTTCAACAATCGAGGTGGAAACGAGGATGATAACAAGCATGATTTTCGACAGTTTGGCAGACGTTTGGATTTCGTGATCGAGTTTGATGGTGTGTGGGATGATGATATCGAGAAGCGTACCACAAGAATCACTTGTCATCAGTGTGAGTTGGAAGGGATTAATTGGGGTACTGAGGAGCAATTTCGTAGCATGAACTGGGACATTAAGTATTGGAATAGTTGCAATACTCCAATAGAAGTCATAGAAAAGAGCAAGATTGTTAACAATGGAATTGAAGAGGATCATATCATAGTTGGTAATATAGTTTATTGGCGTCGCAAGTTTCCAGAGTTCAAGCGTCGTTATCTGCAGGATTATCCAAGGAGTAGAGAGCTTTTCGAGTATCGTATGGAGTGTGAATCACAATCACAACAAGTTATTTCACAAAATTTAATAGAAAATACAGATCCTCAGATTGAATCCAGCACTTCACATAAACGAAAATATATTGAAGAGAAAGAATTATCAGATTTTTCTTCTAATAATTCAGATTTTAGTAATATTAGTTCAGATGATTCAGATTATACACGTAGAAAAAAGAAAGGCAAATCAGTTGTTGATTCTGTTACTAAAAATTTAATAGCAGAAAAAGAATCAGTAGATCTTGAACAAGCTATTATTCAGTCAAATTACGTAGATTTAAGCAACAAGTCGCAAGATCCAGAAGAATTTTTGTCAGAATCAGAATTGTACGAATCAGGTATTGAGCTTGATATTTCTGAAGATAAACTAAAAAATACTAAGAAACGCAAGCATATAGATGATAATATTTCTAAAAATTTTGAACAGAAAAACAAAGATAATCTAGAATTTAAACGGTTAAAAAGATTATTTAAGTAAATTTATTTTTTATTATTATATAAATATATTTATTGTATTAAAATTTTTATAAAATAAAATATATTTTATCATGTCTTTACCAAATATTAAACAAATTTATAAAGTTTTATTAAAGGAAAAAACATGTATTAATTTTCTACTCTCAAACAACATTGTTCAAACTCCTTCTCAATGTTCATATTGTAATTCAGCATTATATCAAAATAAAAAATTGTTTAGATGCAAGAATCAAGATTGTCACAAAGCAGTTTCTATCTATAAGGATTCTTTTTTTGCTAAACATCATATTATTAGCTCAGATATACTATTGCTTGCATATTTTTAGTTGTCAAAAATCAATTATACATCTATCAGCATGATGACACAAAATTCGCCAAATACTATTGTAAATTATACTAAAATGTTTAGAGATCTGGTTATAAACACGTTGGAGGAGGATAACATGATCATCGGTGGCAAGGATATCATCATGGAGATAGATGAGAGCAAGTTCAAGAGGAACAAGGATTTTTGGGTGGTTGGTGGAGTGGAAAGAACCAAAGAACAAAAATGTTTCTTTGTTGTTGTTGAAGACAGAAATACAATAACTTTGAGAAGAATCATCAAAAAACACGTAAAACAAGAATCAATTGTATTCACAGATTCATGGAAAGGGTATCAACTCGAAGGTTTAAATCTTATTCACAGAAGGGTAAATCATTCAAGAAATGTATCAGAAACATTTGGAATTCACACAAACACTATTGAAGGAACTTGGGCCAAACTAAAGACAATAATTGTTGAAAGGAACAGAAATCAAGATAAGATTGAAAAATATTTACTAGAATTCATCTGGCGAAGAAAACATAGAAAGAATATTTGGCAAGCATTTATCGATATTGTTAAAAATTATTAATTATTTTAATAAAAATTTATTATTTTTACTCTAAGATATTCCATATTTCAGTTAAACTTTTATCCAATAAATTAGTTTCGCCTTTATTCTTTTTCAAATTATATTCTGTAAATTTTATCTTTAATTCTTTGATTTTATTTTTCAATTTGCTAATATCTTTTTTGTATTCTTCTATTTCTTTTGTTAAACGTACAATTTCTTGGTCTTTGTATTTAGGCGAATAGATAACACATTGCAGATTTTTTTCATTGCATTTAACACAAACATTTGGATTATTTTTTAATTTTACACATTTTCTTCTATGTTTTCGGCATCTCAGACATGAAGTTTTCAAGGTTTTTGTTTCCTTAGCCATCAGGAAAATTGTTAATTTTTTATTTTTTTTAAACTCACAAATTTTTATTAAAAGTTGAGAAAATTTAGTTTCACATGTTAAAAAACATACTACTCGTCATGCTTAGCACGAAGAGCTATTTTCTCATGAGCATGTAAAAAAAGAAATCAAGCTTCTTCCTTTTTCAAGGAAGAGGAAAAGACACTCCAAAGGACATGTTTGATCCTTTGAATGGGACCCCTAAATCACTAGATATCAGTTCCCCTTTACAGATTCATCGCCTGATTTTCCAAGAAAAAAGAGCCAACTCGTCCGAGCCGGCCATCGAAATTGCAAAGAAATGCTGCCATTAATATCATTCTGAGAGACTCAGTTCCCACAGAACTCAAGTAAATTCTAGGTAGCGCTTCTGTACTGGATCTCTGTCTCTCACGCAAAACGTACGAGAAGACATGACCACGCCCAGGAGTTACAGAGAAACTTTACCTGACAGCACAACTCAAAGAGCGATACCAGCAACTCTTATCATCATTTTTGGCAAGAATCGCACTAGGATACACAACTACGTTCTCATTGGATTTTTAAAGGAAAGTAAAAAATTGACCAATTCGCCCGTTCCTATGCTATATGAAGATGAGAGAACACAGATACGCTTCTCCGAATTCTTGTGAAAAAACCCGGATATTTTACGTGTTTAACACTGCAAGAGATGCTACAACAGCATGGTTTAGACTCGTATTCTCCATGTTCTCTCAGGGTCAAATGTACAATCATCGGAGAAACAAAAAGGCAAAAAAACAGAAATTGGGCGTTTCAGTATCTATTTGTACTGTCGATCACATAATAAAAATTACTAATTGTAGATTAGATGATCATCTACAAAAGAAAATTACACTAAATCACATGCATACAATCAGATTACTAATTTTAGATTTATTATAACGTAATCATAGAATGTACCAGAAACTTTATACACAATCACACGTTTACTTACAAAAAATAAATATAAATTAATTATTTACAAAAATTACATTTAAAATACTAAATTATTTTCAGCATAATCCAACAAAT